TTGTGCTGCAGAGCCACAACTACCTCTTGACTTCAATGACTGACTGACCCTGTGCCACAGGGCTTTTGTTGCTCCTCCTACACTTTGGACTAAACCATTACTCTAAGAGTTGCAGGAGGGGGGGACATAAAAAAAATATTTTTTTCTTTGGTGAATGTCAGATTTGTTTCGTTCTTTGTTTTTTACGTTTTCATATTAATATTGTTTAAATACAAGGTTTCTTGTATGATTTTTTTCCGCGGGGGTTCTAGACTTTTCCTAGATTGAGGGGGTCCGCACTCACCAAGGCCCTCGGGATTTCAACCTATGCAAAGAACATTTCCAGGGTTAAAGGACTAATGTTGCAGAAAGATTTAGAGAAATTCCCCCATGCATTTCACACTGATTACTGAAAGGGTCTGTTTAGAAATAAATAAAATCAATCCTCCAGATGAAGCTGATCTAGAACGCTGCTGCTGATGTTCTGACTAAAACCAGGAAGATAGAGCACATCACCCCAGCTACAAAGCCCTGACAAAGGCTCCCTGTAGCTAAGAGAATAGACTTTAAAATAATTTTGTTAGTTTTTAAAGTACTGAATGATTTAGCATCAAAATACATTAAAGATCTTCTGGTTCTGGTCTGCTCTGCATCCCCTGGACCAAAAATGGAGGGGCAGCATCCAGCTTCTATGCGCCACCAATCTGGAACAAACTTCCTGAAAACTGTACAACAGTTGAAACATTGAGTTCATTTACATCAAGGCTTAACAACCACCTGTTGAGAGTTGCATTTGATTAACAATAACTGGTATTAATCAAAGGCAGTGATATTCTAAACCTTCAGAGAAGTTCAGACTCTCGTTTAGCCACGAACATGTTTAACCCATTTCATTTTGCAGTTATAGAAACTAATTTAGTTTGCAGATTTCTACAAATTTATCGTCAAAGTAAATGTGTCTGAATTAGCTATGACTTTGATAGGAAAAGCCTTTGGCAGATGAAGCACAGCTGCCCGCGCTTTTGACTTCATATATTTATCGATGTCTCGGTTTGTAAGGAGCGGAGCGCCATCTAGTGCTTGTCAACACAAATTGCAGTCAAACACGACAAACAGCGTCCGGTACAGAGGACTTCAATTTGGTTTAAAATACGGGATGTGACGGCTAATACGGGTCAGTTGGCAAGCCTACATGACACTGTTAACTGTCGCCAGTCTGAATGCGAACTACTGTTACTCGAAATGCTAAACGTTAGCACATTTGTAGAGGAATTGGGTCGTAACTGTTGACTGCCGTTTGCATGAAAACTCACAATTGTGTCAACGTAAGTTAAAATGAAACAAACTATCCTGGACTTACAAACACTTTTAACAGTGGTACCTATAAGTTGCCAACTGGACATACCTGTGAAAGCAGAAATCAGCTTCTTCACCGACCCCCGACAGCCGAGGCCTCCGGGACGGATTCGCAGTCAGGACCGCTGCACTGACGAGCGGATCCCTCCGCCTCCAGCCAGTGTTCTATCAAACAGCGGACCGCTGCGCACTCCAGGCGGATGTGCACATCGTAGGTGCTCTTTTCAAGCCGTTTGTTAGGTTACAACCGCAGACAGCGAGATTTCTCCAGCGGAACAGAAACAGTCGCGTAAATTACAAAACGCGAAGAAAAGCAATGAGATCGTTTACTAACAATTAGATTCTTTAAAAGGTTTTACACTATGAACAGAGGACTCGAGTCTCAGTGAGAGCAGTAGTTTTTGTTTTAGGAAGTCTTAACACACTGCAGTGGCTATTACTCTATTTAATTTAGAATTATATTTATTTAATCCGCGAATAAATAAAATAGATCATGAGAGCTCACAGAGCGCATGCTCTATGGTCTCCGTTTGTTTATATTTTATTTAATTATTTCATAGATTTTCACAGGCTTTTTTAATATTTCTAACAGTTATATACATTCCAACCTTTGCACCACCTAGTAGTTAATTACTAATTACAAATTCACTAAATTTGTGAATATTTAAGTTTCATACGAGTCGTTAGAAGATACATTTGTTTATATTTTAGTTTTATACATATAAAATAGTCAAGTCACTGGTTTGAAGTGATGCCAATTCCCACCTGCAGGTGGCAGTACATTTTACTTGCATACTTATTTTCTAGTAATAAAGTCACATTTATTATCATACCTAAAGGCAAATGTTTAAGTACATTTCCATTTAGGTGTGCATTTAAATGTATCGAAATGCAACACGTATTTACAAACACTAGATGTCACTCCACTCCGACAAAATAGAGCAAAGTATCTGTCCCTCATCTGCAAAGACATTTTGCAGTCAGAAATCGCGGCTAATTCGAAAATGTTATTTTAATGAGTGGAGAACAATTTATATCATCTGTTTAAATAAAGTTTAACGATAAATAAGTCATATAATTTTGAGTAAAAATCCAGGTTGGTATTCCATTGATTTTTAAATCTACAATGTTTGATGTTGAAATAACTGAGGCCAACAGTCCTTTGAGTGGGAAATGTGGAAAAAGCTTCTCTAGATAGTTTATCTAGACAAGCTTTTCTAGATACAGTTTAGAGATATATAGAGAAGCTTTTCTAGATAACGTTTCTCTATTGTTGAGAATATAAGTCTAGTTAGCATAACTATAGAGACATTAACCTTTGTGCATATGAAATATTGGATCTAGCATGAACATTTTGGGTAGACATTTTACGATAAGGTGAACTTACATAAATTTATAAAGAGGATTTTGCAGATAGACAGGCCCGCACTCCCTCAACTGCTATGCAGACATGGAGTCTATCTGCTATCAAAACAATACATTTCTTGGTGATTGGTTCAAGAGTTTCAGTGAAACATTAAAACTTTAAAAAGCCTTCTTCAAAGTATAATCAAACGTATTAAGATATTTTCTTAAGCATTAAACTTGTTTTGAATTAGTTAGTTTCTAACCATGCTATTTAGAGCTGACTGCATTTTTAAACATGAATTCATTAAATTATAAAGAAATAAATTATTGACATTTTTTTGCGGCTGGTTTTTGAAGCTGCTGACTCACCCTTCCAGTTAGTTCCCTGTTTTTCATTCTAGTTTAGGTGGCCTTGCTGTCTCATATCACCTTCCACTGAATTTAATAACACACACGTTGTGACATGTTAACAATGGATTAGAGTTGTAACAGCTGAAAAACGTGCAAGGGACAAATACAGAAAATGCAGGAGGCCTAAAATATCAACTCGAGATAGAAATGAAAAAAAGCTGCTCCCTCCTCACCATGCACTCCGTGTGCTTTATATTTTACTTATTTGCCGATCAAAAATAATTTATTTAGAATAATCATAGCTACTGCAGTGTGTGTAGTATATATTGCAAAACTAAAGAACGACTTTCGTCCTCGGTTCCTGTGTTCATAGTAAAGAGCCGTTCGAAACAATCGGATTATCGGTGAACAATTTCTATCATTTATTCTTTTGTCTTTAATTTGACAATTTATATTCCGCTCGAGAATTTTGCTGTAAAGCCCCGACTGCGACCAACAGACAGGAGAACCGTGTGAAAAGAGCCAATGAGTCCGCTGTTAAACAGAACGCTGTATGGAGGCGGAGTGATCCGCTGGTCGGTACAGCGGTCCGCTGTTAAACAGAACGCTGTATGGAGGCGGAGTGATCCGTTGGTCAGTACAGCGGTCCTGACGGGGAAACCGGCCCGGAGTCTGCTAGCTCTTTATGCTATCATGGACCACTGAAGGAGCTGATTTCTGTTTTTAAAGGTGGATCAAGTTCACCAGTAATCGATAGACACCATTGTCAAAAATGTTTCTAAAGTCACAAACAATTTTTTACTGACGTTGATTGTATTTAAATATATTTTTGTAGATTAGAAGTAACTGTTTTCTGTCACAAGCTTAAATGCTAACTGCCGTTGCTATAGTTTTGCCAACTCAGCATCTCCAAAATACAAGACGCCTCAATTATGACATCACATCGTCTCCCTAACACTGATATTTAAGCTTTTTCCATGCAACATAATGGATCAATAGAGGGATTTAATCAACAGAATGTTTTTATATTTTTCCTTACAACTTTTCAGCTGGTGGCTGAATGCGCTGCTGTTCAAACAGGCATTTCACTTGGGTTTTTATTTTCTTTATTTGGAATTTTTTCTTTTAAATTAATTTTTTTTGTGAGGTGACCTTATGTGCCCTGAAAGAGCATTTTAAATAAAATATATCATTACTATTACTATAAATACTTATAAATGCTAAAGCAAGTACCGTTGCCATTATTATTGCGTCGTTGCTTCCTCTCTGGCCATGTCATGGGCGGCAACACAAACCTCAGAAACACAGACGCACAAAGCAACAGTGCATCTGTGCATTCATTTAGGGCACAGCTGCCCTAAATGAATGCACAGTAATTAACCCTGTAAGTGGGTCAGTCCTTTTGGACCCAGTGAGATCGTCTTTTTGCAATATCTTTGTAATGAAAAGTTTTTAATCACTTCATATTCCAGGTATTCCTCAAAAATATGTTACTGATATTATGCAATTCAAATGTTTAATTGACCTTTTCTACATTTTAAGAAATATCATGTTTTTATTATTACCCCTTTCTTCTGTGAGTGGGTCAAAACTGGCCTGCATTCATTTCCCATTTAATTTAATGGAATCTTTGTTTCTTACCGACTGAGACAGGAAAACATGTTTGTGAAGCGTACACACCGAGTCCTAAGCGTCACTCCTGAGTGATGATATTTTACACAAGAACTCTTACAGATAAGTATCTTAATTCTTTACCTCACAAATGTAACAATCATGAGTACCTTGACAGTGTTGTCTTGAATCAACATATTAGCCTTTTAGCTAACATTAGTTTTCTACCCAACGAGCTAACACTGGCGCCTATGCTTTATTGTGTATTATTTGTGTGTGTCTCTGTGTGTGTCTGACCCACCGGATAAGAAAACCACGAGAGAGCGAGAGAATGTGTTGAATGACATGCAAAACCTGTTGATCAATGTGTTCAAGGTTTGTTCTTTTATCTTCTCAACAAATAAAATAAAAATGTATAGCGATATAAATCAATGCATAAATAATGAGCCAGAAAAGAGTAGAGTGCCTTCTCCGGGTCGAGGAGGATGTCCTGCCCTGAGGGGAGGAGTCAAAGTATCTCGAAATCTTGTTCACCAGGGAGGTCGACAGACGGATCGGCGCAGCGTCTGCGGTGAAGTGGGCGTTGTACTCGTCTGATTTAGAGGTCAAAAGGCCAACCAGCCCCCCCTTTTATGAAATTAGGCAAAACTGGTGTCAAATGTTTGTGCAGCAAATTTTTTGTTTGTGCCTCTATCACTTTAAAGATATAAAGAAAGAGATCAAAGGTCAACCAGACCCCCACCTTCTTCAGATCAGACAAAATGGGTGTCAATTGGCTCCACTACGTTTGTGCTGGTTTTTGCAAAAATTTGATACCAATTTTGTCTGATTTCATATAAGTGTTAAAGGTTGACCTTTAACCTTTCATTAATATCTTCAAAGCCAAAGCAGCACAAACCAAAATTTTTGCTGCACAAACCAGTATAAACGTAGTCGAGTTACCTGACACCCATTTTGTCTGACTTGCAGAAGATGGGGGGCCGGTTGACCTTTGATGACCTTCCTCTTGGCCTGTGGGAGGAAGCCGGAGTACCTGGAGAGAACCCACAGATACACCGAGAGAACAGAAAGACCTCAGACCGGGACTCAAACCCAGGACTTTCTTGCTGCCAGGCAAAAGTGTTACCAACTGTGACTCTGTGCAGATTTCATGTAAAAACTACAAAGAACAAACAGATCACATGACACGACTAACAGATTATTATAGTTATTATGCAACACCTTGTATATTGGATGAAACTTTAAGAGAACAGTTAGTAAGGTGGATATTTGTGAGCGTCAGTCTCACAGATGAATTTGTTCAGAAAGCCAGTCATTCCTTGTTTCCAGCTGTTGGAGGGATTTCTTTCTGGGAGAACGCAAACTTTTGATCCTGGAGAATAGGGGACGTCCTTCGCCCAGAACCTTGAAAACAGAAACATGAACCTCAGAACATAAAATAAAATCACACAGCAGCTCACTAACATCAGACTGATAACTGGCAGCATCTACATGTTTTGTCTCTATACCAATAAGAAGTATTTAAAAAAGAAGCCAGACTAGTATTAAATTAAGAGTTGTATGTACTTTACAGATTTAGATGTCTTTGTTTTCACAATTGCATCTAAAACTGTTGAGAAACTTTTATAAGTTTTTAACAAATTATCTACTTAAGTAGAATTAATCTAACAAATGTATTTGATCCAAATTCAACATGAAATTCTACTTTCAATGACAGTATTAAAATGATTCGTCCCTCTGAACAGATGTCTTCAGATGGGCCTGCCTTTGTAAACCAGCTGTTTTATCTTGATCTTCCTGATGTAACAATGACGGCCCTCACCCACATTCCCAAGGAGGCAGCTGGTCAAAAACCATCGACTGACTGCAAAAGACCAGCAGCAAGGCTTGGTGGCATCAGCCAGAGGGTTCAGGTCCCACAGTGAGGACAGACTGAGGACTGAAGGTCTCCATGCCTGAACTCAATCACCTTCAGCACCACTGACCCAAAGGCACAAGAAAACCCAGATGCAGTTTGCTCTTAGCTATATTAGGAGGATGAAGAACGGTTTTGTTTTTTCTGAACTTCTTGAGTCTGATCAGACGTCTGAAGCTCATGCTGAAAAGAACACCCTGCCCACTGTGAAGCACGGCAGGGACCCAATGATGCTCTGGGGCCGCTTCCCTTCCTCTGGGAACTTGCAGAGTGTGGAGGTCAAGATGGAGTCAATCAGGATATCCTGGGAGAAACTGTCCTGCTGTCTGAGGACGGATGAAGCTTGAGGAAACCCAGTAAGCTTTGACATCATTGGACGTCCAAACAGAACAATGAACCCAAACATATCTCACAGTCCACCAAGGTTTGGTTTAGAAGAAGTCCTGGAGAAGTCAGTTTATTTAACTCTTCTACAAGTGTGTCAAATATATTTATATTTCTACTTCAACATGTATATTTTTAGAGAATAGTTCTTACCCAAGATTGTCTCTTCGTCCATCAAGCCAGGTCCAGGTGTTGTTAACATTTTGTAATCCCATCCAGTATCCATGTTGTTTACTGTGGTAGTACTTGATGTGTTTGCTGACAAATTCCTGAGAACAGATTTTTTTTTAGATCGTCATAAATCTTCTTACTTTAAGTCATTTTCCAGGAACTTCCAGATTAGCTTTAGATATGTAGCATAGGTGGCGTTAGATTTTACCTGCTCCTCCAGATCATCAATTACAACCAAATCTGAACTATTTCTCTGACAAAACCTTCGACTTTGTTCCCAGGTCTTCCATGGAGCTGGTTTGTCGTAAAACATGTATTTTTTATTGAAGAGAATCCAGTTATCCAGGCAGCTGTAACACCCTGGTTCTATTAGACGAGATATAAGAGCAGAAAACTAAAATTTTGGTAAATAATAGCAAATAGAAAAAATTGTTGTATAAAAGAAAACCTGCAAACATACTTAATGTTTTACCAGCCAAAAATTCAGTATCAGAAAGTGACTGAGTTAAGCTACCATTCTGGTTAGAGTGGTGTACCACAGGGCTCTGTGCTCGGTTTTCTCAAAAACAACAGTACTCTCTGAAATCAAAACTTTACTTGATTTCAAAGTTGCTGCTACTGAATCAGTTTTACTTGCACACTTTGTCAGACAAGTGACCTTGAGGACTGAACTTGTGATGATTGTCACAGGTACCGTCAGAAAACTGTCTACGAATGAAGGTTATAACAAAATGAAAAAAAAAATCACATGAATGATACAAAGTTTCATTTCAAAGGTAATTAGAAACCTAATCACCTTTTTCTTTGTCTTGGTTCAGCTCCTGGAGCTCTGCCATCGTTCTTTCCTTAATCAGTATCTTTCTTTCTGCTCTAAGAGCATTGATATTTTCCCTTTGGATGGCCATCTTTATACTCACTATAAAAACACAAATTAGTCAGAGTCAGCGAATCTACCTGTATCAGAGAAGTATCAATATTTTCAGTCTCTCTCTCAGATCTTTTCAGAATATCAGACATTATTCTCAGTTTAGAAACATGTAACACTTATGGGCGAGGCAGCATCAGAAGAATGGCCTTTTAAGGAGGTGTGAATGAAAAACAGTGCTATTGGTTTTGGTGCATATATTAAGTGAACCGTATAAGTACTGTCATAGTACTACTAGTACTACTAATGTTTCACTAGTAATGAAGCATTATCCAGACTTGCTTCATTACTGATTGTCTTATGAACTCTCTGTATTACACAATATATAAATAAACTCGATTGAGTGATTTTACCTGAACAGTGCTTGGAAATAGATTTTTTTCACGGCACTGAGTCACATGATGGGTCAGTTATGTGGAGCTTTAATGTTGGAAGTCTTGACACATAATTGGGTTAATTTTATATCCATTGTGAACAAGATCCTTAAGATCCTCCTTCAGGCAGAGACTACCACTAACTCAGAGGGTTCAGTGCAGAGTTTCGGCCTCTGACTGAGAGGAGTTTACTGTCTATCCAGGCGCTTCATAACTCCTCCTACTGTTACACACGTGCATCCCAATGTGTTAAACCGCTAAAAACCTGTCCTAAAGGAAGCTAATTAAAATATTGTGTTGAAATGAAACTCACTGTAGATAATTGTTCCAGCGACCAGAGCACCAAAAATCCCAAAACCCGCCAAATACAGACGAGACCGAGTGAGTGCTGTTGATTCGTCTTCTCCTTCTGCTTCTGCTTCTGCTTCACCTGGAAGAAACAATGAAACTGTTAAGGTAAAATTATAATTCAGCAGGAGGGCTCAGATGCATGTATTTGTCAGGATCTTGGTTAGTTTGAGATTGTTCTGGGTTTTATTATTTGTGTTTGCTTTGTTCTATGTATTAGTTTTGCATTGTTTTCTATTTTTACTTCAGTGATTCTAGTTTTGTTTATTCCTTGTGTCGAGTCCTTTTCTTAGTTACAGTAATGTAGTTTTTATTACGCTTCTTATGTCTACTAATTTTGTTATATCCATTTCCTTGTCCTCAGTGTGCTCTCCCTGGCCCCCTGTGTCACTTCCTCCTTTCCTCTCTCTCGTAACACCTGCAGCCTGTTAGCTCATCAGCCCAGGTCATTTGTTCTGCATTCAACCTCCCAGTTCTTCAGCACCTCATTCTCAGTCCCTCCTTGCTGGTTCTTCCCGTTGAATCTTGTCTCCTTCCTGTTGTTCTTGTTGTTATTTTAGTTTTGCTTTGGCTGTCTGTGTTCTACATGGTTTTAGTTTAGTCATTTGTCATTAAATATTCAAAATCACCTGCTGCCTCTACCTGCATTTAGGTCCAACATCAACACCCACCATGATAGAAGAGGGGTAAATCTTATTTTTAATTATATTAATATATAAAATTGAAATGTCAAAGAGTAAATTCACACTGATGATGGTAAACTCCTGGACTGTAGCCACAGCTGCCCTGGGGTGATCTGATGAAGGGAGGGCACAATTTTGGGCCATCAGCCCTTGGACGAATGTCTCACCTGAAAACATAGTCGACGAAGACAAATGGACCGGGAATCAAACTGGCAATCCACCAACTGCAGGGTGAACTCCTCCAATATTGTTTACAGTTGCCTTTGAATTCTCTATCACTACTAAAGATCACTAATTCACTTTCCTTTATTATGCCACTGTAACATAGCTACGCCCTTATTTGTTTTCATCATGCAAAGTTGTCTTGTTGCTGAAATGTGCGCTTCAAATAAACTTGCCTTGCAGAGATTTCTCAGATGACAGAAACACTCAATGTTTATATGTTGTCAAAAACAACCTTATTACAGAAGAAAATGAAATGTACCGAGAACATTTTGGTAGTAATTTTACTTTTCAGTCCTCTTAAAACATAACATGTGTGAAGTCACTTACCTTCAGGAGAATATTTGTCTTTGTTGACAGTGCCTGTAGAAAACACGTCATTGTCCCCAATGTTCTCCATCCTTTAAGGAGAAAATTTAGGAGAAGATTTAGATTTTGGAAAATGTCCGACGTCTCCTTGAATGATCTCACCTGTAGCTCAGTGGAAAGCCTGTGGGTTTCACTTCCACTTTTTAAAAAACAACACCAGGGTTAGATCCAGCATCAGAACATAAAGACAGTTACAAAGTCTGCCTTCTGTCACCTGAGGAACATTTTCTGTTAGTATTTAAGCTAGTGGTAAGTTATATTAAAATGCTTTCTTTTTCTTCCTTGCATCTTGTAAGATTTATTTACTTATTTATTATTAATTTTAATTTAAATAATTCAGATAAATTGTTCTCATCTCCATATCTAATTGAAAACTCCAGATGGCATAAATCTTTAATCAGGATTAAGCCATGAATAGTTTTATTCCCATTCCTTTCTCAGGTACGGACGACCGAGTCAGGTTTTTTTGTAAATTTTTCTAAATAAGTGTTTAAAATAAAGTTTTCGAATTAGCTGTGACTTCTGACTGGGAAAATCCTTTGCGGATAAAAGCAACGCCCAGCTTTCTACTTCGATATAATGTCTCGGTAAGTAAGGAGCGGAGCGCCATCTAGCGTTTGTACATAAAACTTACAGGATGCGGTCAAATATGAAGAGCATGCGGGACTTACTGAACATGACGGTTAATACGGAACAGTTGGCAACCGTTAACTTATGCGTTTTAATACATCAATTTACATGGAAATAACAGAAACAAGATTTGTTTAGGTGGATCTAACTGAAATGTTTAGCGATATAATAAAATTTGTATGATGGTGTCACAGTTGAATTGTCCTGTATGTTGGAGATAAACCCACATTAACGGTAGTTAGCATTTAGGCTAGCGGCAGTGAGCAATCACTTATAATGAACAGAAATATCTTAAAATAATAATTGATGTAAGCAACAAAAAAAAAAAAAAAACACGAAAAAAAGAAACAGCTCTGTGTACTGACTTGTGAACTTGACCCACCTTTTGAAAACAGAAATTAGCTCCTTAAGTGGTCCCTGATAGCAGAGACAGCTAGCAGAGACTCTGGGACTGATTCCGCCAGGACCGCTGTACTGACCAGCGGATCACTCCGCCCCCAGACGGCGGATCACTCCGCCCCCAGACGGCGGATCACTCCGCCCCCAGACGGCGGATCACTCCGCCCCCAGACGGCGGATCACTCCGCCCCCAGACGGCGGATCACTCCGCCCCCAGACGGCGGATCACTCCGCCCCCAGACGGCGGATCACTCCGCCCCCAGACGGCGGATCACTCCGCCCCCAGACGGCGGATCACTCCGCCCCAGACGGCGGATCACTCCGCCCCCAGACGGCGGATCACTCCGCCCCCAGACGGCGGATCACTCCGCCCCCAGACGGCGGATCACTCCGCCCCCAGACGGCGGATCACTCCGCCCCCAGACGGCGGATCACTCCGCCCCCAGACGGCGGATCACTCCGCCCCCAGACGGCGGATCACTCCGCCCCCAGACGGCGGATCACTCCGCCCCCAGACGGCGGATCACTCCGCCCCCAGACGGCGGATCACTCCGCCCCCAGACGGCGGATCACTCCGCCCCCAGACGGCGGATCACTCCGCCCCCAGACGGCGGATCACTCCGCCCCCAGACGGCGGATCACTCCGCCCCCAGACGGCGGATCACTCCGCCCCCAGACGGCGGATCACTCCGCCCCCAGACGGCGGATCACTCCGCCCCCAGACGGCGGATCACTCCGCCCCCAGACGGCGGATCACTCCGCCCCCAGACGGCGGATCACTCCGCCCCCAGACGGCGGATCACTCCGCCCCCAGACGGCGGATCACTCCGCCCCCAGACGGCGGATCACTCCGCCCCCAGACGGCGGATCACTCCGCCCCCAGACGGCGGATCACTCCATCATATGAACTCTTTTCAAACCGTTCTCTTCGGAGTTTACACCGAGACAGAATAATATCAATCAATCAATCAATCAATCAATCAATCAATCAAGTTCTTTTTCAGCAACAAGGCAGTTCAAATTGCTTTAGTCATGTGTCAATTAAAGACAAAAACATACATATTAGTTATGTGGTTGTCCACGAACGATCAGATGTTTTTTTCAACGGCTCTTTAATATGAACATAGGACTCGAGTCTCAATGAGAGCCGTTCTTGTTTTTCAGTAATGCTCTGGTGTTCTAGATTAACTGGTGGCAGCACCTGGAAAAGACAGATGTTTGTGTGGGCGTGGCTTTTTAGGACCCCTTTACCGAACCAGGAAATAGACAATGCGATAAGCTTAAAGAATCTTTGTAAAAAATACTATCCAATCCCATAAGACAACTATTAAGATCGTGGGAATAACTAATTACAAAGACACTTATTGGTCTAATATGGTACGTTGCCTTTTTTTAAATTAATTTGAAAAATATGTAAATTAGGCAGAACTTGTCCTGATTTGCTTCAGAAGTTGAAATTTGTCAAAGGAAGATTGAAATAGATCTCAAGATGCCAAAAACAGATCTCAAAGCAAAGATTAATCCCTGAAAGCCGATATAAATGTTTAAGAGCCTTGGGATTAATATAAAATGTTTAAAAAAACTGGCTATATGTTTTTCACATCTCCCTCATCTTGTATGATATTTCAATTAGACATCCACAGAAAGAATATCGAAAAAATTTTAAGCATGTTATAGTTTATTTCTTCGCTCATTTACAGAAGACATGGCTCCTGCAGATCTGGATAATTTTGTCTTTATTGTTGATATTTTTTCTCTTAATTTACCAACATCTTTATTCTTTTCATTAAGTGACTAACACTCAACTGTAAGAGACAATGCTGAAAAAACTCTTACATACTTTTACATCAGAAACAGGTTAAAATCTTCACTCAAACTGAGATTCTGAAAGTGTCACCAGTTAATCCAGGTTTGCCTCTGAAAGCGCGAAGTGTCCGTTAGATCAGGATCAATAATAGGATCGGTCGATATAGTTGGATAAAACATCGCTCTCAGAGCTCAGCGGTCGCTGGTACGAGTTCAGTTAGAGAAGTCGTATAATTAATATACCAGAGCCGTTTTATTGTCTAAAAAAATTATATTCACTTGCAGCCAACGTTTAACAAGTTTGCCAGGCAAACTTTTAACTGTAAGAATAGTCTGCTGCTCAGTTAAAGTGCAAAAGAAACAATGTGGCTTCCATTAAACGAGCAAGGAATTAGTTTGCGTGATATCAGAACTGTTTACATTTATTGACGTTTGCAGAACATGCCAGTCAATATAAGACTGAGAAGATGTAAAATAATCGTCAGTCCTTTAAATGCTGGGTGATAATACATATTCTTACAGTTTAGCACCATCTCCTCTTCAAGTGATTTATATTTCTGTGATATTTCAATATATTCTTGAATATTCCTTCACATACAAAACATTGTTTTGAAGAGATAATAGAGAAAGAAACATTTTCTAATCCGCTTATTTACATTTGTCACATTGGTTATCGTTAGAAAGGTATCTAACTGCTTAAAAAGCTTTTTCAATAATTTTTCTGATGAATGGGAGGTCAGAAGTCAGCCTGTAATTCTGCTGAAATTATTTTTCCAGATTGTTCTGTTTTATCAACGGTTTGCTAACTTCTGTTTTTAAAGCCTGAGAGCGATGAGTTTACTACTTGGATCAGTGAAGAGGCAATGATAGGCAGGACTTTAAGGTCTGGATACAATATCTAGACAGTGGGAAGAGGAACTGAATTAATTTATAATTTCTTCTAAACTTTCAGAAAGTAGTTGAAATTGAGTCATTTTTCTGCATTTATTCTTTGGGCATAGCATTAGTACTGAATTTAGTGTGGATGTGTGGATTAACCTCCATTTTGGGAAATTTTCCTCTGCCAAGAAGAGAAAATTAAACAGTTGACAAACTGATGGCCTCACTGTTGCATCTCCCAAATAAAAAATAAAAAAAACAGAAAGAAAAAGAGGAAACATGACAAAGCCTAAACTTTTCAGTTAAAAAATAATTGATTTTCAGGATTTTAATATATGGATTTTGATATGAAGTCTAATGCTGAGAAATAATCTGGTTAAAGAAACAAAAAGACAGAAAAAGAGACCTCACAAAAAAGACCAAGGTTGACACAACTTATTCCTAATGGCTCCATCGAGTTTCCGCTGAATACTGCAGTCCGATGGACAGAAAAGCCTGCTTGCAACACCTGCTTGTTGTTCGGGAGGACTCCGTGGCTTTCCTGTTTGGAGGATGGCGGCGGTTTGTTTTCTGTTCTCTTCCACACCTGATCACGGCCAACCGGTGAACAGGAGGATGTTGATTTGAAATCAAGTACCTACTCTCCTCTTGAGAAGGGACCTTAAAATCATGTCAACTATTGGAAAAACAGTAGTTGAGAGTCTGATGCTCACAAAAAAGGCCGGATAGAGTCGATCCCGTGAAAAAGGGGCATAACTGCCGTTAGCATTAAAGCTAACGGCAGTTAAAGGCCACTTCCGATGCACACAAATATCTCAAAATAGAATCAATATCAATAAAACAATGTCCTGAACTTTGAAACACTTCTAAATATGATATTTATAAATTACTTGTGCACTTCACCCACCCGTGAAAACAGAAATCGGGCTCTTCTTCAGTAACGGCTTTGCTGGAACGCTGACTTCTTCCTCTTCTTCTTCTTTGACAGTTATTGGCGATTGGCAGGCAATGAAATTGGTGCTTTACCGCCACCGTCTGGTGATTGTCTGTCAAGGATTTTGTAACCGTTAATTTAAGATCGCAAAATGTTCCTTTTTTCAGCCATAATGCTCTTATTAAATTCCTGTTTTTCTTTATTATTACTTTCTGACTTCCGCACGTTTTACTGCGTTTAACTTCTTCTGCTAACAAATTATGCCAATAAAATGTCTGCTTCTTCTAGAGATTCTTTATTTTTAAACATTTCCCATTTTTAACTTAGGGAAAAGTTGAAAATGACTAAAATAAATAACATCGTATTGGAGTTGGTTTCATTGTAGCAGAGTTTAATCAAAGTTAGGAAAAAGAATGAACGAACTTTCAGTTACACATGAGAAATGATAAAAATATTATCAGCCATTCAGTTATTTATTCAGTTATATATAATTTCAATTAAAGAAATAATATTTAGGATCCGTAAATCGTTCTGATTCCAATTCATTATTAGTCAGATTTCAACACAACAATTCAGAAAACGGATCAAATATCTTAACAGATATTTCAACAAACATTAGACAGAATATGATGTGTCTAATGATTACATTTTTATGGGCCACAGATCATCATGGTGTCAAAGGGAACAAAATGGCAGCTGAAGCTGCAAAAGGGGCAAATAGAAATTAGCTTGTGGGGTTATGTTTCCATTTTATAAAAACAGATAATTTTTAAATAAAACAGAAAATGGATGAGAAAATGTAAAAGCAGTGTGAAAAAGAAAGGAAAGAATGTTGCTTCTCTAAAATCCAATAGAAAACTAGAGAAATGAGAAGTAAATGGAGAAGGAGGAGAAGAAGAGAAAATTACTTGTCTCCTCAGATTTGGGTAAACTGGGCCACTCAGCACTCTTTGTTTCAGTGAACACAGAGGGGATGATGAGACAATAGAACATGTTCCATCATTTAGAAAAATAACAATTGATTCAAAATTTTAAAACAATTACACTTGAACTGGATTTGATTGACTTATTTAGTAATAACACGAAAAGTAAAAGTTATTAGATAATGTTTCACTAAATTGAATGAACAGATATAAAATTTTAGTGATATTCTGTTTCACATTTTATACCAGTCGGTGGCGGTAATGCACCATGACCGTCGTTAGCCAACCGCCAATAACCATCGAAGAAGAAGTCAGCCTCGCAGCAAAGCCATTACTGAAGACTCTGATTTCTGTTTTCACAGGTGGGTTAAATGCACAAGTAAGCGATATATATTAATTTTAAAAGTGTCTTTAAGTCCAGGACAGTGTTTTATTGACAAAGATTCTATTTTAAGACATTTCTTTGTGTTAGAGGTGACTTTTTCTGCCGCTAGCTTAAATGCTAACTACCGTTACTATAAACAGGTTTTATGTTATTGTTTACGTCCAGAAATTTTAGGCATGCGCACAACGCTGGACAACAAAAAACAAACAAACAACAACAACAACAAAAAACGTTTACCTTCCGCTTCAAAACAATTCCGTTAACAAAATGAAACCTGGAGATGAAGCTATCATTAATTTAGGGCCGTTCGCCACAGCAAAGGGAAGATAACGCAGAAAAACCGTTGAAGAACATCTCCAAACCACTCGTTCATTTTCTCGGTCCCTGTGTTTGCTACGCAATGCAGACCCGTTGCCATAGAAACAGTTACACTATTGTATCAATATTAAATAAAAGCCGTGGCTTATGTATAACCCCAAATTAAAGCTGTTGCTAGTGGGTTTATCCTTTGTGCCCAGCGCAGCCCTAAAACCTTCAGTCCACCTGCTGATTGGACGCACTTCCGGTCTGTATAAATCACGGTCAGAGCGACAATCAGCTCCCAGATTGATTTATTCTCCATCTATTTAGGAACCAGTGAGGCCCATTGCTGTTTCCAGTAGGGTTTGTCATTAAGGCCGCTTCTGTGGGTTAAAGCAGGATGTAGTCTATGCCTCACTGGTTCCGGCCAGACGTCCGACTCCATGTACTGCTTCATAACTTTAAACGCGTTGTCATTTTTCTGAGGCAACAGAAGAAGAGAGTTGAGCTGATTTTTAGAGCCTGATTGGGATTCTTCTGGGATTTCAAGAGAGATGCTCAGTGGGAGGAATGCTGCAGAGTAAACAAGGTTTTCAATTAGTAAACACAGATAAACGTTTATGTGACCTTTCAAATAAAATAACCTTGTTTATTAATACTAAATAAATAATGATGCAAACATTGTCATGTATAAAATGCTTTGTAATTATACTCACATTTGCATAAACACTAGCTCATACATTACAGAAACCTAAGAAACGAATGTTTCCAACCTGAAGTCTTTTTGTATCGATGCAGAATCAATCTGCTCAAGGTCATCAATAGTTCATAATATTACTCAAGTAAATGTAAAGTACAGTGCAGTAAAAGTACTCGGATAAGTACTTGTATACGTAATAAATGTTTTTAGGAACATCAGTGAACAGTACCAACAGCATGCAGAGTGGGAAGAGACAGCCAGTTATTTTTAATTGAACTTTGTCATGTCTTTTATATATTTTCCAACACTGAAATATTTGGTCTTCTATACCAATGATCACTTAATCGTTTCTTTTTCTGTTTCTATGCTGGCAGGACAAAGTTAATGTTTTATATCTGGCCTGATCACTAATTGAGTACCTGTGGTCGATTTATTAAAGTATCTTCTGCAAGAGCAAAGATTGTAAAACATATAATATGCATCAGAGTGTAAACCTTTATGGAGTGAATAGATTTATTTTATAACCAAGGACAGGAGAATTGCAGAAATGTGTATGAGAGAGTGAGAGCTGGTTTCTTGGCATGAAAGGTTTGTTCCAGAAGCAGATTTGTTTCCCAAAACTGTATTTTTCCTGTAAAGGATGGAGAACTACAGCGACGACGATGACTCTTCTACAGTCAATGTTAACAATGCCAATCCTCCTATTAAATGTAAGTGACTCTCTAAGCATTTTACAGTTTTTGAGGATTAAAAACTAACAGTGCTACCCAAAAGCATGTCATACATTGCTATTTCCTCTGTAGGAAGTTATACTTTCTTAACATGGGCTGTATCAGGAGTTGTTTTTATGTCACATGTAAACCTGAAGCTTTAATTTTCTTTATTTTCTTTAATTTGCTTTCTCTGCAAGCCAAGTTTAGTTGTATAGCACATTTCAGCAACAATTCAAAGTTCTTCACATGATAAAACAATAAAATGGAGAATAGCTAGTGGTCTAAATTAGTGATGGTTAATTTATTATTCTAAATAATCCAAAATCAACTCTAAACATGTTTTTAACCTTGTGTTACGTTCTGGTTCGGACGACGTCTACAAAATCATAAGGGTTATATAACACCAAAAGACATTTTTAGCCTTTTTGATTCATTTGTTCATAAAATAAGTCTAGGGGTAGTGGGCAGTGCCACAGGTTGCACCGGTGTGTGCGCGTTTCCGTCTGGTCAAGTTTACAAGTATCCTTCCAGAATCCAGAAAGTATCGTTCCAGAATCCAGAGAGTATCCTTCCAGAATCCAGAAAGTGTCCTTCCAGAATCCAGAAAGTATCGTTCCAGAATCCAGAAAGTATCCTTCCAGAATCCAGAATATCCTTCCAGAATCCAGAAAGTATCCTTCCAGAATCCAGAAAGTATCCTTCCAGAAACAATCAGCAAAGACACTTCCATATGACCCACTGGGACAGTCTAATTTTAGCTTTAGACAGTAATTAAGTTCAGGTTGTTGTTCTATCGGACAGTTTGTGTTTATTTTTCAGCTTTAGATCATGTACAGTAATATTGATAACAGGTTGCTTATCAGGAATCAATCAATCAATCAATCAATCAATCAATTTAATTTATAAAACACCCTTCATGCTAAAGCAGCTAAAAGTGCTGTAAGGATCAATAAAAACAAACAATAACCCACCACACATGGATGAACACAGCTGCCTGGAAAATGCACGAACTGAGCAGAAATGATTCAGTTCAGGAAGTACTGAACTGATACGTTAAAAAGACGGATCTTGACTGCTCTTAAAGACAGCAACACTTTCTGCTCTTGGGTTTTCTGGCAGACCGTTCCAGAAACGGTGGTCAGTAATACTGGAAAGGAGCCTCACCATCAATGTGTGTTCTGACTCGAGGAACTGTCCATAGTCAGGTGCCAGAGGACCTTAGAGTCCACAGAGGTTCATAAGGTAATAGCAGCTCTGTAAGATAAGATGATTAAGACATTTAAAAACCTTTAAAAGAAACTTAAAATCAATTCTGAGAGGCACTGGGAGCCAGTGCAGTGATTTTAAAACGGGTATGATGTGAACCTGACTTTTGGTCTTGGTTAGCACTCAAGGCACAGAGTTTTGTAATAACTGAAGGTTGAGCAGTTTTCATTGGGAGACCAGAAAGCAGGGTATTGCAATAGTCTATACAGCTGGAAATGAAAGCATACATAAGAGTCTCAGTATTAGCGAGGGAAAGAATAGGGAAAACTCAGGTGATCATTCCTTACATGATAAAATGTTTTATCATGTTTAATGCGTGGAATAAAAGTGAGCTCCAAGTAAGAAAAACTCCCAGGCTTCTGACTTGTTTTGAAAGTTTAAAGGCAGCTATTCGAATCATTCGGAGAATGGTTTCAGCCCCAGTTAGAATTATAACTTCTTCTGATCCTCTGGTCCAATGATTAAACCTTCTGTTTTGACCTGGAGAAAGTTTGTGCCATCCAGTTTTTATGTTTGAAATACAGTAATACAGTGAAATAAAAAGTACAGTGACTGGCTGGGGTCATCCTGAGGCAAATGTAAAATCTGTTTCTGGCTTCACAATTGGTGACGGCACGATGTATTTATAATGGCTTTCTGCTGTCACGATGCAAATCACTTTGAACATCCTTGTTGCTGAATTGTGCAATACAATTAAATTTCATTGATTAGTTAATCAATAACTTACTAATCCCATTGTTTTGTTTTAGCTGAAGATGCAGTGGAGTCATCAGCACTTCGGTGCTCTTCTCTGTTGATGGTGTTTTTGGGGTTGCTTTGTGCCATACTGACTGCAAAATTCATCTACAGTGAGTTTCATTTCAGCAGGATAAATTTTAAGTAGCTTCCTGAGTAACAAGTATTTAAAGGTTTAAAGCATTGGGATGCAAGCTCATAGATGAGCGCTCCAGTGCCTGGAGTGGTTTGATGCTGAGTGTGAAGGAGCTGGATGGATGGTGTTAAGAATTAAAAAGAGAAATAACTTGATTTAGCTCGTTAATTAATTCTTTGTCCCGAATTCCTGTGTCTGTGTAAGTGTGCAGAGAGAAAAGAGCAATCATACGACGTCAGACTTCAGATATTCAGAGTTTTATCCAGAGATTCAATGCAGTTCAGAATGTTACAACAAGCATCTCACCTAGATTATCAAAAAGTCCAAGACATGACAAAACAGAGACAAAGAACTGAGTAAAAGACAAAAGATTAACAGAGATGCATCCTCCGGGAAACTCTCACTCAGCATAAAGAGATTCAAACTTCTGCTGTAAAACAAATCATTTATAGAATGCGTATTCTCCTCATTTAAATATATGCATTAGGAGGTGTGTTCTTTTCCTTTGTGTGGGCTGTCTCAATGTTAATTTTATTACCTCCTGCTAAAGAGCCCCAAAGGCAGATATACGGCCCAGCTCTTCTCGTACCAGCCGCTGTCCAGTTTGATATATGATTGCAGCTGCAGCGCTATCTCTGCCTCAAAATGTTTCCACAAAAAGTAGTTTGTATTTTTAACCAAGCTTGCACACAATGTAATGCTAAATAATGACTATAAGTTTGGATCTAATAAGTAACTAATTAAAAACATGCTTAAAGAAATATAGTTAATTCTAATATAGATAAAATTATTTATAAAAAGTTTTAAGATCCTAGTGAACTTTTGAACCATGCTCAGGAATTTGTTAATTGCCTGGCATATAGGCTCCTTATCTAAAGATCCAAGGAGTCTAGGCCTGTGCTCTGTCTACTCCTCTTTTTAAGAATTTATCTTTATCTGCGTTCATAGAGTGAGCCGTTGTTCTAGTATTATCTAAATTTATATGCATTAGAGTGTACTTTAACTTTCTATGTTATATTTCATATGTATCAAAAACTATCCTGTGCAGTATTGTGCTAACTTAAAATTCTATTTCAACAATGGTAATCTCACATTTCTGTTCCAAGAAGCTACAGAATGTCCCCTGCTTCAGTCTGACCAAAACTGGTTCGAGGGTGTTTTTTGAACAATCAACCACCTCATAAAAGAAAGAACACAACTTTATTCTCTGTGATTTAAGATATTTTTTCCACATCAATTGATCTTTAATGTTCAAATAGTCCATCTGAATTACATCTTTTTAAGAACATCACCCAAAAACATTAATTCATTTACTGATTTTACAACATTTTTAAAGATTCTCATTTTACCTGTTTAAGTATTTTTTTTGTTTGTCACACTGATATTTAGCATAAACATTAGTGCTTATGCCAAACACTACAAATCAACATTAGTTAATTTATAGTAAGCCAAAGTTAACTATAAGTTTGGTATTTCCCAATATGTATTGATTTTATTTAGGAAATAACCAAAGATTTATTTTCCAAATCACATATTTCTTCTCATTTTCAAGCGCATACACTAATCACAAAATTTATAAACTAAAACTCACAAAGTTCACAGCTGCAAGCAAATGTATTCTTTTCTCTCCATGGACATGCATGTACAGACAACAATACAAAAACTTACAGCAAGCACAGAGGTCAGCTCAACACCAAAAGCAAGTAGAAATGGTTTCTGAGTATGTTAAAAAGAATCAGAAACTTGAGGTCAGCAAGCTCATGTTTAGTAATGAAATAATAACTGTACACACTGAAAGAAGTTATGCGCACATAGGAGATAGAGTGGGTCAACCTTCTCATTGGGTCCACATCCCAAATAATCAGTGTCGGTGCTTCCCATAAACTCTAAAACCAGAGGGATGTCTAAAGCTGCCCTACGACTTCCAGTGTCCAACTCGGCACTGGAAGAACGTATCTGCTGGACCCTAGTCAGGTTTGCCAGATACAGGGCTGCAAAGCCCAGAGGCACCTTTTTTCTTGAGCATGCAATAAATGGAGATGAAGACATCTCCAGTTTCACTGCACACTTATACGCAGCCTCAACTGCCAGGTTCTTGGTTAGGATATATTATTAGCAGACCAGCAACTATGCATCTGTCCTGAAGAGCACATCACATGACCCCACACTTCATACATGTCAAAACTCATACTTGTTAAAAAATGTTATGTCTTGTTCTATTTTTTACCCATGAAGGTCTCTAAAATTTATTGAAACTAAACAGCCTGCAGGATAATTACTGTATTACTTTTACATCTAAAATAAATATTTCTTAAATAGTCTATTGTTACAAGTAATCATGGATCCTTTAAGACCTATTTATTCTCTTTTTAGTTACTTGTTATCTATTAATTACTTGTACTACATTTAAATGGCTATTTTTATGAACAGGCTCATATTTCATAAAGGTTCAATACCTAAGGGCAATTTAGTGAGACCAATCAGTCTGACAGTCATGAGGCTGAACTGACGCATGAACAGGAAGAACATGCAGACTCAACAAATATGGACCCCACTGACTCAATCAATGAACCTTATTGGTGCAAGGCAACTGTGCTACCACCATGCAGCTCCCAAAAATAAATGAGTTAATGAAATATTCAAATCAGTTAAGTGTCATTTGGTGCTATACTAAGAATATGGTCTGATATCCTAAAAGGGTTTAAGAGAGAACTGAACATTTTGATGCTCTGTGATACAGATAGATTCACTGACTTTCTGACTAATTTGTGTGTTTCTAGTGAGTATGATGACGACCAATCAGCTGGAAAATATCCAAACCCTTACAACAGACAAACAGCGACTGATTTATGAAAAAGAGATGATGCAAAACCAAATTGACCATATGATCCAAGACAGACACCTGAGCCTATTAAGCGAGAGGGTTATCCGAGAGAGGCTTACTCAAGTCAGAGAGCAGCTGAGCAATATGACAGATGAACTGGACCAACAGACAGAGGAGCTGAAGAAAGAGAGAGATGAGCTGAGCAAAGAGAAAGAGGAGGTGAACAAAAAGAAGGAGGAGGTAAACCAAGACATAGAGGAGCTGATTAGTAACACACAGGAGCTGGAGAAAGAGAGAGACGAGCTGAGTAAAGAGCAAATCAAACAGAGCAAAGAGACAGAGAAGCTAAAAAAAGAGGAAGAAGAGCTAAGCAAAGAGAAAACAGAGCTGAGTAATGAGAAAGAGGAGCTGAGCAAAAAGAAAGAGGAGCTGAAAAAAAACAATGATGAGAGAGCAGAACTTATTGAAGAGAAAGAGAAGCTGAGCAAAGAGAAGAAGGAGCTGAACACTGAGAAAGACGAACTGAAGAAAAAGAATGATGAGCTCAGCAAAGAGAAAGAGGAGATCAGAAAAGAGAAAGACAAACTGAACAAAGAAAATTACAAGCTGAGCAAAGACAGAGAAGAGCTGAGCAAAGAGAAAGACAGGCTGAACCAACAGAAAGAAGACCTGGACAAAATGAAAACGGAGCAGATTAAAAAGAAAGAGTGGCTCAGCAATAAAACAAAGGAGCTGAACAAAGAAATAAATGAGCTGAACAAAGAGAAAGATGAGCTGAACAAAAAGACAGAGGAGCTGATCAAAAAGAAAGAGCGGCTAAACAAAGAGGAAGAAGAGCTGAAAAAAGAGGAAGATAAGTTGAGCATGAAGAAAGGAGAGTTGATCAAAAAGATAGAGGATATCAGCAAAAACATAATGGAGCTGAACAAAGAGAGAGCAGGGTTGAGCAAAGAGAAAGATGAGCTGAGCACAGAGAAAACAAAACTGGACAAAGAGAAAGAAAAGCTGAGCAAAGAGAAAAAGGAGCTGAGCAAAGAGAAAGATGAAGTGAACAAAGAGAAAGACAAGCTGAGCAAAGACAAAAAGAAGCTGCACAAAGAGAAAGATGAACTGAACAAAGGGGAAAACGACCTAAACAACATGAAAGTGGAGCAGAGCAAAGAAAACCAGCAGCTGAGCAAAGAGAAAGAGGAGCTGAACAAAATGAGAAAGGAGCTGAACACAGAGAAAGATGACCTGAGCAAAAAGAAAGCAAATCTGACCAAAAAAAGAGAGGAGCTGAACAAATTGACAGTTAATCTGAACAAAGAGAAAAATGAGCTGAACAAAAATAAAGAGCTGAACAAGGAGAAAGAGGACCTGAACAAAATGAAAGTGACTCTGAACAAAGAGAAAGAGGAGCTGAACAAACTGAAAGTGAATCTGAACAAAGACAAAGATGTCCTGAACAAAAATAAAGGAGAGTTGAACAAAGAGACACAGGAGCTGAACAGACTGAACGCAGAGTTGAGTAAAAAGAAAGCAGAGCTGAGCACAAAGACAAATAATCTGCACAAAGAGAAAGAGAAGCTGAAACAATATAAAGAAGACCTGAGCAAAGAGAAAGCAGACCTAAGCAAAACGAAAGAGGAGCTGAACAAAGAGAAAGAGACGCTAATAGCAGAGAAAAAGAAGACGGAGAGTCGATGCAAAGACAAAGATGCCCTGCAAATCTTCTATAATTTTGTCATGTCATTTCAGACCTTTACAGTTGAAAAATTCTGTCCTCGAGATAGTAATTATATTTCTGGATTACCTTTGAAACTCTTAATTATTAATTTTATTTTTGAAATATTCAACTAAGTGTTTCAAGACACAGCTGACCATTATAATCAGATTATAATCACAGGTAGAGTGCTGAAGGTCACTTTCCTGACAACAAAGTGAGCCAGTAAAATTGATTCATTAGCTCCAGGTTAACAGCCAACTTTTGATTTCAGAGAATATTATTTTTAGTGAACCCTGCGGTATGCCACTTCTGACTAGAATAATGTCTTAATTTAATCACCTTCCAATACTGATCCGCACTCTACCTTTAAAAGCTTTTTAGAGGAATTTTGATAATGAAAATTTAAATAAGTCCACATGGATTTCTTCTAGAAATGTATTTTTTTCTTTTTGATATTTGACCAAAGTTTCACTTCATTATGCTCTTTCCCCTTGTCTAGTGAGACCAAAATGTCTGGATTGCAGGGTCGGATGGCTTTCCTTCAGGGGACACTGCTACTGGTTTTCAGATAGAGGTCATTCTTTGAATTTCTGGGACGTGTCTCGAGACTTGTGTCAGCATGATAGTGGATATTTGGCTATAATTGATGATCTGGAGGAGCAGGTAAAACATAACATCACCTCTACTCTAGAAATTTAAAACGAATCTGAAAGTTTCTGGAAGATTGATCGCTTGACAATACTGAATTGCCCATATAAATTGAATCAATACGACCTAATTAAATTTTTTAAGTGAGAATAGAAAACCAAAGAGGAGAGGTGTTGCCCTAATACATGATGATTTCTTTAATTGCAAAAAATATTTTTAGGTCATTTGAACTCTTGAATATCTGGGAATTGAGGTAAAAAACCACAAACAAGGTCTGATACTAACTCTATGCAAAACTCCAATATATGTGGAAAACTTCTTTATTGGCTTTAATGGGCTTTTATGTGTTACATGCATCAATTATGATAGTTTCATAAAGTCTGCATTCTTGCTTTGTTGAAGCGCATACATGATGCTAGGAATGAATCTTGGCTCAATATCCATATGCTCCCACTAGCTCAGGTTATATCAACAAATAAGATCATCCACCATAACTACGCAGATGATACACAGCCAGTGATGGCATAGTTACCCTGAAAAAGTAACTGGATTACTGATTACTCCTTAAGAAGTACCTTAGCTAAATTACTGATTACTTGATTTGGTAAGCGTTACTGACTTCACTGATGTCACCAGGTGACTCTGAACCCATCCAATCACTGAACAGATACTTAGAGCAGATAAATGTGAGGATGTGCCAAAACTTTCTGCGTGTTTCAGGAGTTTCCCTGCGTCAACCCAGCTCATTTCAATTGATGAATGATTAACAGGTATTTGCTGCACTGCAATCACCTGAATCAGGAGTACAAAGGCAGGGAGACATCTAAAATATGCGGGGCAGTCTGCCTTGAGGACCAGAGTTGGAAAACACTGATGTAGAGTCAATGCACAGCTTCAGCTATTACATCTGGAAACCAGTGATCAGACTAAAACCTGGGAGCGGTGATGGACTCAGACCTGAACCTTCAGGGTCACATAAAGGCAGTCATAAAGTCGGCCTTCTATCACCTGAAGAACATCTCCAGGGTTAAAGGGCTAATGTCCCAACAAGATGTAGAGAAACCCAATCATGCGTTTATCTTTAGTCGCATTGATTGCTGCAACATTGTCTTCATAAGTCTGACTAACAAAATCAATCCTCCAGCTGCAGCTGATCCAGAACGCTGCCCGCTGGCGTTCTGACTAAAACCAGGAAGATGGAGCACATCGTCCCAGTTCTACAGTTCCTCCACTGGATCCCTGCAGCTCAGAATAAACTTTAAAATACTGATATTAGAATCACTGAACGGTTTAGCACCACATGAACCATCTGCTGCTGTATCAACCCTCCAGACCTCTCAGGTCGTCTGGTTCTGCTCAGCATCCCCAGAACCAGAACCAAATATGGAGAAGCACTTTCAGCTTCTATGCACCACAAATCTGGAACAAACTTCTAGAAAGTTGTAAAACAGCTGAAACACTGAGTTCCTTAAAATCTAAAGAGCCAGCTGTTTAGAGTTGCTTTTGAAACATTATAAAAGAAACTATCAACATTTTGATTACCATTTTGTAACGATAGAGAAAATTGACAAAATGTAACGCTTCAGTTTTTAACTGTGTTCTATGACTGTATTTTTATGATGCAAAGCACTTTGAACTGCCTTGTTGCTGAAGTATGTTGTATAAATAACTTGATTGATTGATTGAAGTAAAAGAGATTTATGACAGTCTGAAATGAAATCTGTTCACAGAAATTTATCGTCAAGCATGCCAAACCCTACGAATCTCAACACCAAGGATACTGGATAGGGTTACATCATAAACTCGCCGGATGGGTTCTGGGTTGATGGACGTAAGAACGCTCTTGAGTAAGAACTATTATCCAAATATACATATTTAGAGCTACTGTGTGTAACTTTTATAGAAAATACATTTTCATATTTGTTGAAACGGCTATCATGTCCTAACAGTATGGTATCTAATAAGGATGAATAAGGTGTGAAAAATTTGGGCTCCTCTGCCTTCTCCCATTGCTCTGAGTGCTAACTGGAAACAACCAATCAGAGCCTGGAGGCGGGTCTTAGCGCTGTCAGTCACAACCTAGTGTGGCTGCTCTCTGCTACTGCTTTTGCCTATCAGCAGATCCTGCTGTGATTGCTCAGGCTAGTTAGCATAGCAACTGATGGCAGTTTTCCTGTAACAGTAAGTTGTTTCTCTGCCATTAGCACAGTTAGCAGAAACTAAATGAGGTTGAGTGAAAACGTTAAGACCCTCCTCCTGGCGTAGCAACTGTCCCTGTAACTTTAAAGTTGGGCTTTTGCTATGTTTGTGCTTCTGTGATGGCAATGCCTTTGACTAGGCCATTATTGTAACATGCAATGAAACATTAAGTTGGTGAAGGCCTTCACTGGTTAAATCAGGGGTGATCAAGACAAAAGACCTGATTTGCAAACACATGCTGCCATGAAGAATTCTGTCCAGAGGGATGAATAATTTTTAGACTTCATCATTGGAAGTAGTTCCTTATGTTGAATTTGGATCAAATATTTTTGTTTCATTAGGTTTAGTTACATTTGTGTAGTGTTACTCATTTTCTTGAAAACATCTGAGAAAATCCTAAGTTGCTGTTGTAGTTGAGTAATTTTAGATTCAACAGTAGAAACAAGGACATTTACGGTGCGGAGGTGGCGCTGGAGTAAACGCTCGACCCGTGTATAGACGCAGCTATCACAGGTTTGAGGTCCAACCTGTTGACCTTTGCTGCATGTCTTTCTTCTTTCTCACAACCCAAATAAAGACGATTAGATCCAAGATTATTCTTTAAAAGATTGGATCTTTGGTAAAGCATTTAGAGCTTTAAAATCCAAGTTTTCAAGTTTGTAAAACTTTACTACAAGACTTATTTACTACAAGTCTAGTTTCTTTGCAAGTGTGTCTTTATTTACATTGAGACAACAACGCATGCTGACAGTTTTCAGTTTGATGTTATTAAGCTGCTGAACAATTTTTATTTTACAAATGTTCTGAGGTTCATGTTTCTGTCTTAAAGCTTCTGGACAAAAGAGGTCCCCCATTCTTCGGGAGCAGCTCTGCATATGCCACAAAGAAAAGCCAAAGAGAGCTGGAGAGCAGAAGACAAGGCAGTGAAGCACAGATTCATCTGTGAGCATCCTATGACTGTTTGGCCCTACAACTAACACTGTTCTGTTAAAGCTTCAGCGAGGAATACTCAACTGTGTCATCATTTTTTTGACAAATGTCATGAATGAAAGCACAATGTCTGTAGGTTAAATCCCACATTAAAAGATTCAATACAGATGTGCCGTTTCTACAGGAGACTCGTATCAGAAGTTGTGACGGTGGGCATCTCCTGGCATACTGGAAGGGACAATGTTTTCATGAACTTTTTCAGGTTAAAGCACGAGGGTCTCCATACTGATCAGCCAGCATATTCCACCTCAGGCCGATAATGTGGCAGCCAATAAACATGGCCGATTTATCGCCTGTACAACATTCTGAACGCCCTACTGAGTGTTTATGGTCCGTATTCAGGTGATGAGAATTTTTTTTCTTTTCTGATAAATACTCGTTGGTTTAGTGGTCGATTTCAATTGTTGGCTTGACCCAGGTTTGGAACCCTCATCATTAAAATGAATGTCATAAGCAAGTCTGCATCATCATCCAAACCGTTTTATCTGAATGCAGACTGTGTGATGTGTGGCGTACTTTAAATCCCGACCAGAGGGAGAACTCATGCTTCTCACGTGTCATTCAAGAATTTATTATTTTATCACTGATACTAAATGCCTGCTGCAGATCCGTTCCTGTGGCTATCAAAACATTGTTATTTCACTCTGTCCTGGTCCCTTCCTCACTTTCCTAAAGTTTATTCAGGATGAGATACATGTCTTTTTTGCTACTAATTCCTCCCAAGAAACCTCCAGCATTGCAGTATGGAATGCCATTAAAACCCAGTTAAACCTGCACAATTTTAGAATTGTTGTTCCATTTTCAAAGCCTGAGAGATGACACACTAGCCGATTATAATGGCAGGTATAACGTGTTTGATAGTAAGAGTGTGAGGTTTCACTCGCAAACATTCCAACTCCAGATACGAAATCCCGTAAAATTCTACGATTCCACACCTGAATTTAAAGTTAGCAAACATGGACAACGACGTTGAAGCAACAGAAAAAGAGATGCAGCAAAACGTTAAAGCTTTGGATTAGGAACTGGAGATCAGAGCGAAATCAAGGGTTATATTTGTTGCACTACAAGATAGAGATGAGTTGTATTTTTCTACCTTTTAACAAACATCACACTGGGTTTCATTTCTTTTCTGCTCTGTCGTTTAATTAATCGTAACTGTTTAATGATACGTTTTTACGTTGATGTTGCAGAATATGTGCATGTTCTGGGCCTTGTTTCAGAAAGCTGAACAATTGAAAGATCCAAGCAGATTGAGCTAGAAGAGTGCATGTCCTGCATATTTGCTTTTAGAGAACCAGATACCAGTTAAACTTGTTTTTCCCCAACAAAGGTAACGTCTTCCAGCTCCATTTATTGAGACCGCATGGTGAGTTAATTGCAGTTTTTCTGGCCTCAGCTCTGCCGCTCCTGGAGCTGCATGCGCAATATTTGTGCACTTCGGTTTTCACAGTTCAATGAACTTCTGCACCTATATTTTCTCTATTTGCCCTTCTGTGTAGGCTCGAAACAGATTAACACATTTTCTATATGTTTCTCTGTTGTGTTATCACTGCAGACTGAAATTAAACATGCCATTTCAACCAAATGTTAGAATGCGCTTCTAAATCAGATGTACTCTGTGCCAAAAGTTATCATTTTTCAGTGTTTTTTTCTTTCTGGTTACCTGTCACATTCAACAGGCTGCGTTCTCGCTCCCAGTCGGGGGACACCACACACACTGTGATCATCGGGCCAAGGCCAAGATGTTGAATATTCCTGATTTTAGATCGGAGCAGTCCCAACGTTCTACCGACTGGACCCGATCAGCCGTAACACACCACACAGTTCAGGATGATTGGTTACAATTATCGCAAAGAAATCGGGGCAAAACATTGTGCAGTGTGAAGTGAGCTTAAAGCCTACATAAGAGGCCAGATAACTGCCGACTTAGCAAAAATAAAATAAAAAACAGTATAATTGGTCAGCAGAACAACTGGGGGAGAATTTTCTATCATAGTCCAAGAGCACAATTTTCAGTGTGACAGCAGGACTTCATGTTTTTCTTCTCAAAACTTGTAATGATTGTCCTCAAAACAAAATTGGAAAACTCCAAAGTCATAGTTAACAAATATCTTTATCCCAAATGTTAGTGGAAGAAACAAAGAAATTACTTAAACAGGTCAAATTTGAATCTTTTGAGAAGCTGTAAAATAATTAACTAATGCTTCTGGGTGATGTTCTTGAAAAGATGGACTATCTGGAAAGTAAAGATCAACTGATGTGAAAATATACCTTGAATTACTGAGAATAAAGTTGCTTTATTTTTGGGTTTGTTAATAGACAGAGTGACTGGGAATGACTGGTCTTAGTGTGTTTGATGGGTTTCATGAAGCGCTTTGCACATGTGACATCACTTCATTGTCCAACCTACAGTGAATACATGTAGTGATTTTTTCTTATTTTTAAACTTTGTAGAAACAGTAAATATTTTATTTATAACCAAAATAGAGATAAATCTAAGGAAACTTTCAGTGGTCTCATAGATCCTTGATTAAGCAGAACATCTGAGAAAAAAGTTTTATTTGATACATTTTTATTTTACTTAAGATTTTAAGGTAATGTTCAAAAACCCAGGGTGACAGTTACAGTTTTGAAACTCCAGTAATTTTGCTTTGTTTATAACAGCTTCCAATGGAAATTGGAAACTATATTTGGGTATTCTTGAGGTTATGAATTGGTATGAGGATGACAAAAAGGACAGAGTTTTATAAATTATTACACAAATTTTGTCTTAACTGATTACAAACACTTTGAATTACAAAAAGAGGGGAACCAAATCATTATTGTAAGGGAATAAAATGACAGATGGGGCCGCAAAGGAGGCAGCTAAATTTGTAAATTTTGTTTTTCATTTTAATAAAACAGAAATAAAAATTGTAAAGGAAAGAATGTTGCTTCTCTAAAATCCAATAGAAAACTAGAGAAATGAGAAGAAAATGGAGAAGGAGGAGAAGAAGAAAAAATTACTTGTCTCCTCAGATTTGGGTAAACTGGGCCACTCAGCACTCTTTGTTTCAGTGAACACAGAGGGGATGATGAGACAATAGAACATGTTCCATCATTTAGAAAAATAACAATTGATTCAAAATTTTAAAACAATTACACTTGAACTGGATTTGATTGACTTATTTAGTCATAACACGAAAAGTAAAAGTTATTAGATAATGTTTCACTAAATTGAATGAACAGATATAAAATTTTAGTGATATTCTGTTTCACATTTTATACCAGTCGGTGGCGGTAATGCACCATGACCGTCGTTAGCCAACCGCCAATAACCATCGAAGAAGAAGTCAGCCTCGCAGCAAAGCCATTACTGAAGACTCTGATTTCTGTTTTCACAGGTGGGTTAAATGCACAAGTAAGCGATATATATTAATTTTAAAAGTGTCTTTAAGTCCAGGACAGTGTTTTATTGACAAAGATTCTATTTTAAGACATTTCTTTGTGTTAGAGGTAACTTTTTCTCCGCTAGCTTAAATGCTAACTACCGTTACTATAAACAGGTTTTATGATTGTTTAATTTAGGCATGCGCACAACGCTGGACAACAAAAAAAACAAACAACAACAAAAAAAAAAACGTTTACCTTCCGCTTCAAAACAATTCCGTTAACAAAATGAAACCTGGAGATGAAGCTATCATTAATTTGGGCCGTTCGCCACAGCAAAGGGAAGATAACGCAGAAAAACCGTTGAAGAACATCTCCAAACCACTCGTTCATTTTCTCGGTCCCTGTGTTTGCTACGCAATGCAGACCCGTTGCCATAGAAACAGTTACACTATTGTATCAATATTAAATAGTAAAAGCCGTGGCTTATGTATAACCCCAAATTAAAGCTGTTGCTAGTGGGTTTATCCTTTGTGCCCAGCGCAGCCCTAAAACCTTCAGTCCACATGCTGATTGGACGCACTTCCGGTCTGTATAAATCACGGTCAGAGCGACAATCAGCTCCCAGATTGATTTATTCTCCATCTATTTAGGAACCAGTGAGGCCCATTGCTGTTTCCAGTAGGGTTTGTCATTAAGGCCGCTTCTGTGGGTTAAAGCAGGATGTAGTCTATGCCTCACTGGTTCCGGCCAGACGTCCGACTCCATGTACTGCTTCATAACTTTAAACGCGTTGTCATTTTTCTGAGGCAACAGAAGAAGAGAGTTGAGCTGATTTTTAGAGCCTGATTGGGATTCTTCTGGGATTTCAAGAGAGATGCTCAGTGGGAGGAATGCTGCAGAGTAAACAAGGTTTTCAATTAGTAAACACAGATAAACGTTTATGTGACCTTTCAAATAAAATAACCTTGTTTATTAATACTAAATAAATAATGATGCAAACATTGTCATGTATAAAATGCTTTGTAATTATACTCACATTTGCATAAACACTAGCTCATACATTACAGAAACCTAAGAAACGAATGTTTCCAACCTGAAGTCTTTTTGTATCGATGCAGAATCAATCTGCTCAAGGTCATCAATAGTTCATAATATTACTCAAGTGAATGTAAAGTACAGTGCAGTAAAAGTACTCGTATAAGTAAGTGTATCTAGTACTACTCACCTCTGAATATAGATAACAAAGTATTATTATCCTGTTGTTGTTTAACTCTATCATCACTTGGCTACGTCTGCTCAACTCACTGGAGAAAAAAAAACTGTGCAAAGTTATTTGGCTTTTTCTGTTTTGCTGCTGTGACTCTAACACACACCGGCTTCCTGGACTGCACGGCAAACGTAGTTTTTCTTTTTTAAAAAGAAAAATAAATGTTTTCAGGAACATCAGTGAACAGCATGCAGAGTGGGAAGAGAATCAGTTATTTTTAATCGAAAAGTTTAGGCGTTGTCATGTCTTTATATATTTTCCAACACTGAAATATTTCTCCTTCTACATGAGGGGTGTCAAACTCCAGTCCTCAAGGGCTGCTGCCCTGCAGTTTTTAGATATGCTACAGGTACAAAACACTGGAATCAAATGGCTTAATTACTTCTTTCTAGTGTAGATAAGTTGTCAAGAGCCTTTCTAATGATCAAATAATCCTATTCAAGTGTGGTGCAGCAGAGGTACATCTAAA